CTCTGTTACTTCACCCAGACTCAGTTCCTTGCCTCCCTGTGCTCAGGGCTCTGTCACTTAAACAGATCCACTTGGAGCCTCAGTCTTCCTTCAACCAACCAACTCACCTTGTCAGGTGTAGTGAGAATCATGGGGTCCTCTCTGAGGTTAGTCATGAAATGAGGAAACAAAAAAATTTTTGAAGACATAACTTAAGGACCCAATAGAGTATAAAAGTAACATCTCAAGTCAGGAAATTGTAGTCAGCTAACAAAATTTTACTTCAAACTACTATAAACTAAAATGCTTCTCAGGAAACAAATTCAAATAATTACCATGGTAGACCTTTCCGGGAAACAAGATTTTAAAATGATATGGTTAAAAATCATTATTGTGGTCAATGAACTGGTTGATAACTCTCCTACTTTTCTTATCTTTGCAGTGGCTATTAGGCTCCTTATGAGATCAATGGTCATCTGAGTGTGTAGCATTCATTTTACAAAGGTAGTCTTCATTTCATAAAGTATGTCAGAAAATTGTTCAAGCATTTTATCAGAAGTGATACTTAATACCCATAAAAGTTTATACCTTACATCCTTCAAAAAAGATGTACTTCATAGCAGTTTTGGGAAACTAATCTTTTTCAAACTGATTTGAGATTTTTTATTATGGTACAGAGTGGGGTTGTCAGGTCTTGAATTTTACTCTTGTTGAAGCTGATAAGCTTATTGTTTCATTCAAGACAAGATTTCTGGGTCAAAGACAAAGTACTTCATTGCTAATGGCAGAGCAAACAGAATAAGCAATTGCATATTTGCTTCAATTGCCCTCACTTTACATTAAGTACACAGAAGCGGAACAATGTGTGCAGATGGACATATGCCTGCAGTGTTATTGTGCCCTAGCCAAGCACTCAGCTTGAGAATTCCCATTTAATAGCAGTCAACAAGCAAATTTCCTGTTTTTCTCAGAGACTCACGATGGACAATTTTTGAATATTACTCATTCCTGGTCCTACATTGTGTGTGGTTCTCAAAATGTTTCTCATTAGGATACTTTACCCATCACTCTCACTAATCTGACTGGTAAAGGCTGAGACTAAATAGATTTAATTTGTCTCACACAGAATTTAATTAAATCTACTTCCACAGAATTCCAAGTCAAGCTGTTGAGTTAACCAAAATCATGTCTCCTATGATGCCAGATTCAGCCAATTGTGTCCCAGAGTATAGACAGCTAAGATCATAATGTATTATCCATTATGATCATAATGGATAATTATGTGAGGGAGTTTGTATTGACATGTTAGTATTTGGTTTAATTGCCAAAAGTGACCAAAACCCAACCATGATTCCTAGTAGAGAGATGTTCTATGGCCCCTTTTATCTAGACATAACCTAGCCTGAAGGGATGGGTTAGTTGTATTGAGATTTAGCTTTATACTGTATTGTTAGTCTCTGTAGACATTCATGGACCAGGACTTTTCAGACATCATGAAAAACATACATCTTTGTATCATCCAGTTGGAGAAAAGCTTCTGCTGATCCATGTATCTGTACAGTATAGGGCAGTAATATATGCCTGGAAGTTGCCATTGTTGTAGCAAAATAGATAAGGAGAGGCAATATTCACATGAGCTTCCTGTTTTCAGAAAATGTAGATAGGAATGACAATGCAGGAGCAGGACAGATTAACAATTGCAGATGCTGCTTGGTCCAGCAGAACATATTGGGTATTTTCGTATTAACACCCTGTGCATCTCCAAGGGTCTAAGGTTTTCACTTGCTAAGTAGCAGATTTATCCTTTTTCCCCTACCAGCAACAAAATCAGTGTATGCTCTTTACTTTCCTTTTCTTTAATTAAATCCAAAACTTGTGTCTAGAAGGAAAAGGGGCAATAGGACAAGGATATTTTCATGATGTTTAGAGAGACCCATTATATTCACCATCTGATCCTCCTAGATCTTTCTACAATAGAGAAGTGAGCTCAGACAAATGATAGCTATCCTCATGATGTAGGACCATGTTCATCCAAGTAGGGACTCCAGATTCAGGAATCTGATTCCAATTTTAATACTATTCTGATGAGTTCACTACCAGGAGAACATACCATACATGGTGTTTAGGAGAAACAAAGAAGCATCATGACTTCTAATTTTAGAAAGTACAGTAGTTCCCTCCCATTAAATACATTTAAATTACTGGACATTGTGTAAAAACAGTACCTAAAACTCCTGAAGTAGAGAGAAGAGGGCAGGAACACTAAGGACTTGGGGCCAGAGGAGTGATAGACTGGTGAGTTCCCTCAGTTTGCTTTGCTTCATATAAACAAAGTAGATCATACAGAAGTCAATAACCTGCAAATGTCAGTGAGTGCAGACAATGAACCCCAAGAGAAACCCCTTCTTTCTAGCCAAAGACCATGGAAAGGATTGCCTAATAAGACAGAAAACATTAAGACAGCATCCAGCCTATTCCAACCAAATACCACATAATGTTTATAGCAACCAAGAAAACACTTGAGAAAGAAAAAGATAATTGAAACCTAGTACAAAAACTTTATGGTATGTTTTTTAATTTTATTTTATTCATATGTGCATACAATGTTTGGTCATTTCTCCCCCCTTCAAACTTTATAGTATTTTAACTTACCTTTGCTACATCTCCCCATCATTAGCTCAAAGATAGTTTTAAAAAGCAACACACATTCCCAGTATGAATTCTGTTTCTGTTAGAAGCAGAGAAGACCTTGTTATCAAATCATAATGCTTGACTGCTTGATGTGTCTGATGGTTCCCTGAAGGACTACTGCAAAAGACTTGCCTGTATGTCACATAACCCAGAACTTTATCTGTGCAGGGAAATGACTACGCAGAGGAAATTATCTCAAAATAATTTCATTATTGAGTGATTCAACAGCATATTTGAGCATTTAAGAGAAAGAATCCTCAAACTTGGCGTTAGGTAAATTGACATTATCCAGTTTTCTGAGAGGGGGAAAAAGAGAGCAAAATGAGCAGAGTCTGAGACCTTTGATGCATTATCAAATGTACAGACAAAAGTATAATAGTGATCCCAGAAGGGTAGGGGAGAGGGTAAGGTAATAAAAAGAATACACGAAGACACAATGAACAAAAACTTCCTAGGTCATTGTCACATAGATAAATAGAAAGCCAGTATTTTGTATATTTTGTTTTATTTCTTCTTTTTTCTATATAATTTTAAGGACAGATATAAAAAATATAGATGTAAGCAGAATGGAGAATTACATGGATAGTTTTCCATATAAATAAAGATCTCATTGCTTTTTTAACTAATGCAACTTACATAATTAAAATCAACCCTAATTAGTACCATTTACAGTAGGACTTACCCTAAAATAAATTGTCTTTGAGCAGGAACAGGCTTTTCAGAAGTTTGTGTTTCGCAAGGCATATCCACAGACTTAACTACTGTGGAGAATGAAGACTGATTAACCCAGATGGTAGGGAGACCTGTGGTTTTCCTGTTTTGACTGATGGCCATGACACTGTCCTGAAGACATCTGAAGGAATCCTTTAACATCATTAGGCACAGAATCCCTTGCGAGACAACTTTGATACTAGAGAATTCTATCATTTTACCAGCACTGATATAGCTCTTGGTTGGCCACCATCTGTTATTTTGTGTTCCAAAATCTTACAAGTGGACTAACTCTTACAAGACTCTGCTTCAGGACTATATGCTATATTTAGGGCTTTATGCTTCATTTTCAAGGCTGGATGGCTGCTATCTTGTTCTGTTGTCATTCCTCCCTTGAGTTTCACAATTACTAAGAAAGGGATGTTGTTATTTTTGTCAAGTATGATGAACCTTGGAGAGTTCACTCTTCTCTGCCCCTCATTCTATTTTCTGTGCAGTTGTTGGTGGGAAAGGGAAGCCCATCTGTGGAGGATTCTGATTCCCTGGTTCTTCAATAGTAAATGGCCTGGTGCATTGCTGGATTCCAGCCATCAGCTTCTGCAAGGTCACAAAGCCCACTGTGTGACAAAAAGGGACACTAGTTTCCTGTGCATGTATCTTTATATATCCAGTTAAGCTCCTGATGTAGATTTCATGTTAAATAAAATAATCTAGACTTAGGAAGTTAAGTAGCATGTGTTTTCTCTCATATGTGAATCTAGAAAAATAGAGGACATGGAAGTGGAAGGGGAGCTCTTAAGGAGGACAAAAGAGGTCAGGAGAAGGGAAAGGGGAATGGTGGAGTGATTATGGCAAAAGTACATTATACATATGTATGAAATGTCACAATAAAACCTGGTATTTTATAAAATTAATGATCACTAATAAAAAGTAAAAATAAACATTTTCCTAGGCTATAATCAGGAACCATGGCTGTTACGGCAGATTTTAAGCCATTCTGTTTTGAAAAGATCCTTTTAAATTACAGGAAAGTTATTTAAAAGTTAGAGATGAGGGAGTGGTATGGAGTGTCTACATTGACATGTAGAAGGGCTGTACAGTATGAATACCCCTTGATTTGCAAGCACCTCACCCATTTCTACAACAGAAATCTTATGAATGTTTGTTCAGTGCAGGAAACTGGAGTTTGGAAATAACTGATCTTACACAGAAAAGATCTGCCATTTGAGGAAAAATACACACACACACATGCACATATACATCTCCCACATTGACATGTACACATGTCATTTGAATCTTTAATTGAACTAAAGTGTCAGACTTAACAGTTCACCTAAGGATCTGCATTTTGAATACATTTTTGACCACAATCATAACACTAGGGGGCAGTATGTTCTCAGGAATGCCAGGAAACCTCAAATGCTCCTGTGTGCTTGTGTGTGTTTTGGGGGGAGGTTGGTGAGAGAGAGAAAAAGAGAGAAAGAAGGAGCAATGAGGTGAAGGGAGGGCTTGCTGGTGTGTCAGGGTTAGTGAAAAAGAACCTTTTTTGTTCTGATTGGTAAGACAGTCTTTTTATGTTTTGTAAAGCACAATAAATAGACATGTCTGAATGGGATTATTTTTACAGTGTAAAATCTGAGTTTTCAGTCAACCGGAGGACAAGAATGATGAGATCCTTGAGTGTTTTACTAGTGATCCTGAGTCTTCAGTTGAGCTGTGGGTTGGGCATTTGTATGGGAACATAAAGTACAGTGTTGGATGTTGTTGTCTGTTCCAAGCCTGTGAATAGAAACATGAAAGTTTCCATTCTCTCACTAAAGGAAGCTGTGAAGCCTAGGAAAAGATAACTTAGATTCTAGAGAGTGAGTGTTCACTACCCAATCAACATTCTTTGTCTGACTACTGTCTTTCTGCACAGGGGTGAGCAGCCAACAGAAGGAGGTGGAGCAGCATCCTGAATCCCTCCGTGTTGCTGAAGGAACCACGGCCTCTCTCAACTGCACTTACAGGAACAGTGCTTATGATAACTTCAGGTGGTACAGACAGTATTCTGGGAAAGGCCTTGAGCTGCTGGTGTCTGCATTCTCCAGTGGTGATAAAGAAGCAGGAAGATTCACAGTGCTTATCAATACAGCAAGCCGATTCTTTTCCTTGCACTTTAGAGACTCCCAGCCCAGTGACTCAGCCACCTTCCTCTGTGCAGTGAGCACACAGTGCTCCCCAGACACCTGCAGCCTGCACCAAAACCTAAGGGGCCCAAGTAGAGTGTGAGGAGGAGCACAGACCATAGGGCAGAGAAATTCTGTGGTGCTCAAGATGACATGGGAATTAAGAGGAGTATCAGGGAGGCTTTGATTGATGGGGGAAGTATTTTGATATTCTGAAAATTTTCATTAAGGGAAATTAAAAACACACATTGTTTTTTAATTGGAAAAACCAATTAATAGGTTTTCAATGGAAAAATCAATAACTTTTGATTGCAATATTTTCCAGTTTTCTCTTTCATTCCAATTTTAAAATTTGTGTTGAGGTATGGACAAAAATGCACATGTTTAACATCCACATCTTGAGTAATTTAAAGATAAACTGTCACCATGAACAATGGTATTCACATAAACATTGCTCCTAAAAGCGTCTTTCCTCTTTCTTTTTTTAATATTGAAGTACATTAGATATGCAAAATGCTGCATGTATTTAATGCTTGTATCTTGATGTACAATTCATATTTATACAAGTTTATTCAAGGGAATTGCTTTTATTATATATAAAATCAAATGTTTTAATATGACAGCAGATACTCCTTCACAGTTGTTAATATACCTCGCTCTTTTCCATTCAGTATCTGAAGATATATGATATCTTGTACTAACAATGGAACAGCCAAAAGAAGAGAAATGCGAGAGGAAGAAATGATTCATAAATTATCTAATTTGAAAATTAGTTAATAAATCATTTTATTTGTAGATCTCCCACTGCATCTCCACTCTTAGCTGAGACCACACCCATGGATGTAAGAAAACATTTGATGCATAGAAGGAAGGTCTAAAATCAGAGGGGGGCACTAGTTAAAACATAAAGCTCAGATAGTTGCAGAGATTGAAAATCAGAAAGCATTCTACATTGCCATTCTTCAGTAACAGCTGTGAAGAGCTTCAGATTCCTGTCCTGAGCCTTGATGCTGTGCACTGGAGTGTCTCCTGGAGATGTGGGGAGCATTATCCACAGCCACAGAGATCCCATGCCAGTTCCCAGCATAACATGGGAACATGGTGATTCCCGATTTCCTGGGATCTTTGAGAAGAGGTCTAATAGAGTACTGTATACAAAGGGGCTTTGTTCTGGACAGTCAGGTCTCCATGGGTCAGCTATGATGACCACATGGTACTGAGAGTCTTTTGGTAAATGTTGGCGATGAAAGTTGGAAACTGAAAGAACATATGCATGTCCACATCCCTGACACCTGGCCCCATGGAATTGCCAGGCCACTAATGCCAGGTGCAGGAAAAATATTTACAAGCTTGATGGGAATAGACCTTGTAATAGACATGAAGTTGAAGTACAGTGAAAAAATTAAAACCACACTTACTGTACAACTGAAGTCTTGGTCTAAGTCATAACATTGCTCATGTAGTCAAGGAGTCCATTTAATGGAGTAACATGATCATACTGATGTTGAAAGTTAAAACGATTTAAATTAAGACATTTGTAAACAGGAAAAGACCTAAATAAACAAAGTATTTCTGTTCACAGCTAATTCTAAGAGGTTTTAGAGAATAGTAACCATACACAGTATTATCACATTAGTTTATTTTGGGAATAATTCCATGACATTGTGCCTAACATGTACTTGATATTGTACCCAGGGGAAATGAC